CTGAAACTCTACCCAGAGTTTATTAAGCAATAATTCCAGATTCCCCTCCTGCAGCTCCTGGCAGCCACCATTCTGCTTTCTGTCTCTGTGATTTTGGTTACTTAAATAAGTGGAATCAAAGTATTAATACTTGTCTTTCTGTGTGGCTGGTGTATAATGCCCTCAAGGTTTATCCATGTTGTAGCATATTCTGGCTGCTGCTTTTTTTTTTTTTTTTTTTGAGATGGAGTATTGCTCTGTCACCTAGGCTGGAGTGCAGTGGTGTGATCTCGGCTTACTGCAACCTCGGCCTCCCAGGTTGGAGCGATTCTTGTACCTCACCCTCCCAAGCAGCTGGGATTATAGGCGCTGGCCACCATGCCTGGCTAATTTTTGTATTTTTAGTAGAGAGAGGGTTTCACCATGTTGGCCAGGCTGGTGTTGAACTCCCGACCTCAGGTGATCTGCCTGCCTCGGCCTCCCAAAGTGCTGGGATTACAAGCGTGAGCCACTGTGCCTGGCCATTCTGGCTCCTTTTTGATGGGCACAGTGCTAGTCTGGATTTTTGGGATGGGTGCCCTGGAGGGTTCCCTCCTTGGCACCAGAGTGAGGAGACAGCGTTAGCTCTCTCTAGATGAGAGCCACGTTTGTTTTCTCCAAGGCTTAGTGGCCTGATTCCCACCTCTTGTTTCTGTTTCATCCATAGGTTGTAGGGTTTACCTTTCACATGAGGAACAATTTCCTCTCCCTTCTGCTGAGAGCCAGCTCTAAAGAGACATAGAGGCAGTAAAGTAACTTAGAGACAGAAGCCTGGGTCCATTTTTTCCTTTTACGTTTTTATTGTATGGTTATTACATGCTGGGGATTGTGCTATGTACATGCTGGTGAGCAGAACGTATGTGGTCTCTTTTGTGGTGCTTGAGGTCCAATATGAGAGACTTATTTTAAACATCAGAGAGATTCTTCTTCTTCTTCTTCTTCTTCTTCTTTTTTGGGCGGGGGGACAGAGTCTCCCTCTGGTGCCCAGGCTGCAGTGCAGTGGCGCGATCTCAGCTTACTGTAACCTCTGCCTCCCGGGTTCAAGTGATTCTCCTGCCTCAGCCTCCCAAGTAGCTGGGATTATAGGCGTGCACCACCATGCCCAGCTAATATTTGTATTTTTAGTAGAGACGAAGTTTTTCACCATCTTGGCCAGACTGGTCTCGAGCTCCTGACCTCAAGTGATCCACCCACCTTGGCCTCCCAAAGTGCTGGCATTACAGGTGTGAGCCACCTCGCCCAGCCTAAACATCAGAGAGAGTATTATGTAGTTATGGAGACAGGTGCTGTGAACCCCAGACTTGGGGTTCAATGGAGGCCTCTCTTTGGAAGTAACATATCAGTTGAGACTCAAAAGTTGAGTGGAAATTAGCTGGTAGAACATGGTTTCTGGCACGAGAGAGAGTGTATGTAGTCCTGTAAGAGAAAAGGAGCTTGGAATGTTGGAAAAACAGAAAAAGGCTGGTGTGTCTGGAGAGAGGCTAGTGAGACTGACAGGGCCTTGGGGTTCTAGAAAAGAATTTGAGTTTGATCCCCAGGGCTGTGAGAAGCCATCAGAGCTTTTTGTCTTATTCATTTACCATATGTCTGTCAAGTACCCTTCACTTAGTCTGGTATGTGTCCTGTGGAAATATTTTTTAGCTCCAATTTTTATTACATTATGGACAAAAAAAGTAAGAGAGCTGTATGGGAAAGAAGTAGTGCTTTGGCCATGAGTCAAGGCATGCTCTGTGGGCATGAGTGCAGCCTTGCTAGTGTGGAACTTGTGTTCAGTGTAGTTTAAGGCCTTACCATGGGAGAAAGCAGGGCCTCTAGAAACACAGTGCCCCACCTTCCCACTCAGGTGGCCCCAGGAAGGGTGGCTACTCTGGGAAGGTGAAGGTCTGACTAGAGCAGCAAACTACTAGAGCCAGAGAAACAGAGCTGCAATGGGGACTGCACATAGTGTTGGAAACAGTAGGGAGCTCCTGGTCAGGGCACTTTGCTGAGTACAGTGGCTTAGGCAAGGCCGAGGCTAGATGGGAATTCAAGGGGTGGGGGTCAGAACAGGCATTTTCTAAGTACAGACTAAGATTATTTTCATCCAAGGACAGCCCGGATGTGGGTCTCCTGTGGGCCTCAACTCTTGAACACTCATGACATGGAGACTGTTCTAATGAATCACACTGATTAAGTAGGCATGGGAAAACCTTTCTTGGCTAAAGGGCTGGCCATGGAGCAGACTCCAAGCAGTGTCACTGATGCTCAGAGGGGGGTGATTTGTACACTTTGTCATGTCCTTTGTGGCTCAGTTGCTCTGAGAGCCTTGCTTAGGAGGACCAAGCTCTATGTGTTATATTTCCAGATGAGTGATGTAGAAGCTGGTGGTGCCACCGTCTTCCCTGATCTGGGGGCTGCAATTTGGCCTAAGAAGGTAAGTTCTGATTCTTGTGGGTCAGAGGTTGAAGCAAGGCTCAGACTTTACTTTGTCCATGTCCCCCAGTACCATTACCTGGCCTGCCTGATTGTCATTGTGATGTGCCTTAGCCCACCTGGAGTCTGACCTTGTAGCCCCAGCTTCTCCCTGGGAAGAAGGCACAGGGAGGGAAGCCCCTTCAGGGGCGGGTGAGTTCCCAGACTTCTACTCCAGAAAGGTAGGTGCTTTCTGGGAAAAGTCTCTGTTGCTGGAGTCCCAGAGCCCTGTCCCCCGTCCATAGGGAAATGAGGGTGTTTCTGCTCAGGGCAGAGCTTCTGTGATGCTTGAGGTCAGGTCCCTGAGCACAGCCTCTAAGAATGTGTTCTGAAAAGACCAATCTCTTTCCCAGGGTACAGCTGTATTCTGGTACAACCTCTTGCGGAGCGGGGAAGGTGACTACCGAACAAGACACGCTGCCTGCCCTGTGCTTGTGGGCTGCAAGTGGGGTGAGTGTCTTAAGGGGTGGTGTTGGTGGCCTCAGCTTGGGCTTTGCTTACTGGCCTTAGATTCTGAGCTGGGAGATAACTGCTGCCAAATTGCAGAGATTGTCTCCCTTCTTAGCTTTTTTTCTGCTGTTACTACCATCCAGCCATGTCATGTCCATGCACCTGGTAAATGCCAAGGCAGCTGGTTGGAAACACTCGGAGATACACAGGGAGCTGAAGAAGGCCTGAGGACGAACAGCTGCATAAGCACCATAGGTCCAGGACCCTCTGGCAAGGCTTCTAGGGGAGCAGAGTGGAGAGCTGGAAGCAGTGAGGGGAAAGAGTGTCTCAGGCGAACAAGGCCCATATGGATGGAGACACAGGCTAAAACTAGCATATGGGTGTGGGGACAGGCTCCCTTGTCACTTGAAGAAAGGGAGACCTGTGGCACAGGGGCCAGGAGATGAGGCTGGAGGCTGGGACCAAACTGCAGAGGCTCAAGCTTGAGCTTTATCCTGGGAGCAGTTGTGTGAGCCTCGGAGAGGCTTAAACCAGGATGTGACAGGAAGTGTTTGTTAAGGAGATGAGTGTGTAGCCCCCTTGGAGAGTTTTGAAGATAAATAGTGATGGGTTCGCAGATAATTAAGCAAATGAAAAAGAAAACAAGGCAGTTGCTGAATTCAGGGAAAAAAAAGTTGTACAAGAGATAAGTATAAACTACTGGATGGCTCAGGCATAACACTTACATGATATAATTATGTACACACTGAGTATTACTTTAACTAAAACTTGTGATTTACCTGTACCAGAAAGATGGGAGGGGATAAGTATATGTTTTAGGGGTAGAATAAAAGAATTTCAAAGTTGAAAGTTATGGAATAGAACTAAAAGCATGTTACCTAGAAAAATGAAGTTAAATATCAGAAGAAACAGCTAGAGGAGTTTAATGTTCCCTGGGAGTGGGGATTAGGGATGGGAAGGAGAAGCTTCGGAGATTGCTGTTTATCATTATAAGCCTTGTGACAATTTTATTTTTTTCAATGAATTACGTGTATTACTTTATATTTTAAAAGCTCTGTGACTTCAGTAGTGCATTGAAATAAAATTTTGATTCATTATGAGAGAGTCTGTGAGGAACAGAATCATGGTTCCTGTGTTTTTGAAGATATGGCATGGGGTGACAGTGCTGGTGGCAGCTCTGCTGCTCTTGTGCCCATGGCATACAGACTAGATCTGCTGGTCCACAGCTCCTGAGGTTAACATCAAAGCCCTCTGCAATGCTGACAGGCTTCCTCATCCTCACATCCTACCTCTCAGTTTCCACCTGCCACCTCCCAGTAATGTTAGGCTTCTTGAGTCCTCAACACGCGTCAGGGTGGCTCCTGCCTTGATTACTTTCTCATCCTGTTGTCACTCCTGGGACCCTCTTGGTGAGAGAACCATCTGGGTATGTCATTCTTCTTCCCAGGATAACTTCTATTTAACTTTATATTCTAGCCCTAGGATTTCCTCTTCTCTCTAAGAGCAAGAAATGTGTGCACGTTGCTATGGGAATAGAGCCAAAGGGCATGATTAGATGCTCTTTGGTGCTATTCCCATGGCAACCTGCACACATGTATCTTGTCCCACTGGCAGAATTGCATACACTTACCTGTTTACATGTGTCTTCCTCACCAATTCATTAGCAAATTGAGGCCTGAGATCATGTCTTGTCTTATTTGTGTCTGATTCCAGGGCACAGTGCAGGGGTCATCATGAAGGAGTCATTCATTCAGGCTACTAAACTGACCAATAGGATTGTAACATGCTTGCTTTCTTTTCACAGTCTCCAATAAGTGGTTCCATGAACGAGGACAGGAGTTCTTGAGACCTTGTGGATCAACAGAAGTTGACTGACATCCTTTTCTGTCCTTCCCCTTCCTGGTCCTGCAGCCCATGTCATCTTCAAGTTCAATGTGACAGACACCTTTGTATGTTCCAGTTTCTATCAGGCTGGTTTTTGGAGAAATGAATGTCTGGAGCAGAGGGAGACCATACTAGGGCGAGTCCTGTGTGACTGAAGTCCCAGCCCTTCCGTTCAGCCTGTGCCATCCCTGGCCCCAAGACCAGGATCAAAGTGGCTGCAGCAGAGTTAGCTGTCTAGCGCCTAGCAAGGTGCCTTTGTACCTCAGGTGTTTTAGGTGTGAGATGTTTCAATGAACCAAAGTTCTGATACCTTGTTTACATGTTTGTTTTTATGGCATTTCTATCTATTGTGGCTTTAACCAAAAAATAAAATGTCCCTGCGAGAAGCCTTAAAGAGCCTTACTTGGAGTATTTTTAAGACTGGAAGCTTTTACCAGGTTCATCACTTCCTGTGCATCGCCTCCATGCAGGCAGAGTCTGGATCATGAATGCTTTAGTAACAAAACATCTTGGGTCTTGGATTTGAGACCTGGTTTCAACACTTGTGTCTCCTCTAAGTGTCAGTGTCCTTTTCTGGAAAGTAGGGTAAATAATTTCTCTTTGTCTCCCAGAGAACATAGCACACGTGTTCATGATTGTAATGCTGTTATAATGTATAATTTATTTTTAAATTTTGAGATAAGAATTGTTCATGATACATAGATGTATACTTAAAAAAAAATGAAGGTGAGCAGGAGCACCTGTGTCAACACCAAGTTAGAGAAGAGAACGTTTTCAAGTCAGTACCTCAGGATCCCCTTGGGAACCCCTCCTAGATCACATCTCCTTCACTGCCCCCAGCACTTTGGAGATAACCATTGTCTAGTGATGTGTGGTACTCGTTCCTTTGCTTGTCCTTATAGTTTTACCATCCATGATTACATCCCTAAATAAGTAGTTATTCTGTTTTCCCTGATTTTGAACTTCTACTAATAGAATCAGAGTAAATATTCTTGGGTATGTGACTTCTTTTGTTCAACATTGTTTTAAGATTCATCCATGTCGTGTAGCTGTAGTTTGTTTTAATCTTTATAGTACAGTTTTGTTAATGTTTATTGTAGGACTATACCATAATACAGCCAGTATGCTGCTGATAAACATTGGAATTGGTTTCAGTCTTTGTATATTGTGAATAATGCTGTGATAAACATTTTTATACATGATTCCTGCTATACATATAAACACATATTTCTGTAGGATATATATGTAGGAGTGGAAATGTGGAGTCTTAATGGTGTTCCAACTTTGCTAAATAATGTATTCCAAGGTCATTATACACATTCTCACCAGGAGTAAATGAGAGTTCTTATTACTCTAACCTTTTCCAATATCTAGTATTTTCATACTTTTGCATTTTAGCTAGCTTGGTATATTACGGACTAAATGTTTGTGTCCCCTCTGCCCAAATTCATATGTTGAAATCTTAACCCCCAATGTGATGATATTAGGATGTGGAGCCTTTGGGAGGTAATTAGGTCATAAGCCTGGAGCCCACATGAGTGGGATTAGTGACCTTATGAAGAGATCCCAGAGAACTCCAGCCCTCTTTCTGCCATGCGAACACACAGCAAGAAGATGCCTATGAACCAGGGGGCTCTCACTAGAAATAAACCTACTAGCATCTTGATCTTGGACTTTTCAGTTTCCATAACCATGAGAAATCAATGTTTTTAATTCAATGTATGGTATTTTATTATAGCAGCTCTACCTAAGATAGTACATGTATAGTGTCTATTTTAACATTGTTGATAATGTTGAACAACTTTTCATGTTATTAGTTATTAGGTTTCTTCAAGTCTTCTTTTTGATTCATAGAAATTTTAAAATATGTACACAGGCTCTTTGTTATATATTTTGCAAATATCTTCTGTGGTTTGTCTTTTTACTATTTTTTGTCTTTTGATAAACAGCTTTTAATTTTTATGTCAAATCTATGAAGCTTTTTCTTTTTATGTTTTTTATGTCTTATTTGAGAAACCCCAAGATCATGAGGATGTTTCCTGTGTTCTCTTCTGAAAGCTATATAGTCTTTGTCATTAATTTTATCTTTATATATGGTATGAAGTGTAAAGGTCTACTTTTAATTTTTTGCATATTTTATTAGGACAGGATGGGCTTTTGCTATAGTAATAAATAATCCCCAAATCTCATGGGCTTAATATATAAAATTGTCTCATGCAAAAAACCACTGGGTCTAAGGCAATTGCTATCTACTGTCATATAATCTCCCTCTAGTGGCTTCCATGGGTAGACCCTAACAGGAAGCCAGCTGATAAGGGAGGGAATCTGGGAAATGTAGTTTACAGAGTGGCAGCTACAGTAGAACAGTAGAGACTACAAGGATGAGTTTGCAGCTGAGAACGGAAACATGACTGGCACACTAGGTTTTTCTTTTCCTGTTTGAGACTTTTTTGCCTTCTTGAATTTGTACAATGGTATCTTTAATCAATTTTGGAAAATTAAATGATTTTCTCTTTCAGCATTGTCTGTTTCTTCTGTAACTCTGAGTAATTGTAAGTTGGATCATATCATGATATTATCTCTTAAATCTTTCATATTTTTATATCTATGCTATATTTGGGGAGAATTTTATACTTGTTTTGTACAAAGTTCACTAATTCTGTCTTCTATCGAGTGCATCCAGGAGTCTTTGTTTAAGGACTTTAAAGATTTCTTTGTTTTCTGGCTTATACCATTTCTGTTGAAAAGTCGCTATCTGGTCCTTTGTTGTTCTTTTGAAGGTAACTTTGCCCCCACCTGGCTGCTTTAAAGACTTTTTTTCTTTTTGGTTTTCAGTAGTTTTACTATGGTGTACTTAGTGTGGGTTTCTTTTTCTTTTCCTGCTTGGCATTTAGCTTCTTGAATTTCTGGGTTGACGTCTGATCAATTTTGGAAATTTCTCAGACATTATATCTTCAAATATTGTTTCTGTCCCATTTTTTCTCTATCTGCTCTGAGACTTCAGTAATCTGAATGTTAGAACTTTTCATAGTGCTCTATATATCTCCTATTCTGTGTCTCTCATGCTTTTTTCCTTGTGTTTCAGACTAGATATTTTCTATTGATCTGTCTTGGAATTCATTTATTACTTTTGCTGCTAAACCCATCTACTGAGTTCTTAATTTCTTTTTTTTTTTAATGTATTTCTCAGTTCTAAAATATCCATTCATGTCTTTTTTTTTTTTTTTTTTTTCTTGAGATGGAGTCTTCCTCTGTCACCCAGGCTGGAGTGCAGTGGCGGGATTTCAGTTCACTGCAGCCTCTGCCTCCCAGGTTCAAGCAATTTTCCCACCTCAGCCTCCCAAGTAGTTGGGATTACAGGCATGTGCCACCACGCCCAGCTAATTTTTGTATTTTTAGTAGAGATAGGGTTTTGTCATGTTGACCAGGCTGGTCTCGAATTCCTGACCTCAAGTGATCCACCCGCCTCGGCCTCCCAAAGTGTTGGGATTATAGGCGTGAGCCACTGTGGCTGGCCCATTTATGTCCTTTTAATGGATTTTAATTCTCTGGAGAATCTGTCTTGTTTTCTCTGTGTTTTTCTCGGACTGATAAATCAGTTGTGTGAAATTTTTTGTCTGATAACGCCATGATTTTGATTTTCTATGGCTCTCTTTCTATTGTCTTTTTCCCTCCTTAGTTTCTGGTCGTTTGGTCCACTCTGTTGATATGCCTGGTAATTTTTGATTGGATGTGTATGACAAATTGTAGAGCCTCTGGATGGATAACCTCCTGCACAAAGGACTCACCCTTTCCTCTACTATGCAGAGTGGGGATCAATCACCTTAATCCAGTAAGGATCTGAGCTGACTAGACTGGGTGGTAGTTTTCTTAAGACTCTACCTCTGGTTTACCCTTATTTCCCCTGGTATAGGATGTAGTCCTCCAAGATTTTCTAATTGAGAGCCTAGTGTGTGCACTGGATCTGTTCCCACTGGCAGTTCCTCAACTCCAGTTCTTGTCTTCTCAGTACCAGACTCGGCCCAAAAAATTTATCCTCCTTTTCAAAGAATTTGAATTTTTTAATCTAAGCAGATATTTTTTGCTTACCTTCTTAGCCTTCCATTCTGCACAGCATCAGAATTCAGAAAATGCCTCACTGGGTAAACAGGCTGAGTGTCTGGCCAAGTTCTCCACTCCTCCCTCTTATTCAATATTCTGAGAAACTATTGGCTAATTTTGGTTTTTCAATGCCCCTTGACACTGTCAAAAATTCTTTTGGTTTCTCTGATTCTTAGTAGTTGCCCATTGCTGTGGATCCTCATTCTTACCCCATGGCTACAATCAGTAAATTATTATTATTATTATTATTATTATTATTATATGTTTTTTGAGATGGTGTCCGGCCCTGTCGCTCAGGCTGGAGTGCAGTGGCGTGATCTGGGCTCACTGCAAGCTTGGCCTCCCAGGTTCACGCCATTCTTCTGCCTCAACCTCCCAAGTAGCTGCGACTACGGGCGCCTGCCACCACACCCAGCTAATTTTTTGTATTTTTTAGTAGAGACAGGGTTTCACTGTGTTAGCCAGGATGGTCTCTATCTCCTGACCTTGTGATCCGCCCACCTTGGCCTCCCAAAGTGCTGGGATTACAGGCGTGAGCCACCGCGCCCAGCCAGTAAATTATTTAAGGATAAAAGAGACTACGAACTTTTGGCTCACCCACAAGATTTATCGTTCTTCAGGATCTTGATGCTCAAACTCTTTTTGCTTCAGCAATTCATTGATGTCTTCCAACAATTTTAAGAGATTTTATTCAGCTTTATTCATTTAGGAATGAAAATTGGTATACCATAAGCTATTCTATCTTGGAAGTAGAAGTCGCCTATTCATCTTTTTAAAAATTATTTTTATTGGCCGGGTGCGGTGGCTCAAGCCTGTAATCCCAGCACTTTGGGAGGCCGAGACCATCCTGGCTAACACGGTGAAACCCCGTCTCTACTAAAAACTACAAAAAACTAGCCGGGCGAGGTGGCGGGCGCCTGTAGTCCCAGCTACTCGGGAGGCTGAGGCAGGAGAATGGCGTGAACCCGGGAGGCGGAGCTTGCAGTAAGCCGAGATCCCGCCACTGCACTCCAGCCTGAGCGACAGAGCGAGACTCCGTCTCAAAAAAAAAAAAAAAAAAAATTATTATAAAATACTGATACAGAAAACCTTATCTTTGTTATCTTCCTTTGTTATCTAGTATAATAAGATGCTCCACACTCATCTTGAGCATTTCTCACATTAAGCATGGAATCAGCCATTAAAGAATCTTATTATATGTTGATGTCTGCCTGTCAATCCCAGCATGGTCCTGGGAACAAACGAGATAACTTCTACTTCAGAGACAGGGCATTGCTTTCAGCAATCCTTATTAATTTAGCTTGGCATTAATATGTTCATTAGGGCAGCAAAGAGTTATTGAGCGTTTCATTATGCATTTGGTACTGTGCTAGGGATGATACAGTCTGTTATTGCATTCAGCAACTTTTCAGAATGAATAAATAAGCAGAATGTCAGAAAGGTTAGGTAATATACCTGAGGTCACATGAAGTCTCATTGCTGGTAAGTGGAGGACCTGGCAATGAAACTGGCAGCTTCCAAAAGCCTTTGCTCTAAAACAAAATTTGTATTTTTATGCATTTAACAGTTATTAAAGATTTGATGGGGAAACATAAGGACTGTCTTTACCTTTAAAGAATTCTGAGCAATGGAAGGGACTCATAAATAGATGTGTGAAATGTGAGAAGTCTGATAACAGAGAATGTGCTTGAGGAGCACAGTAGAGTGAAGTTCTACTTTAACAAGAAGTTGGCACTACAGTAGGCACCGTTAGAGCTGGGTCTTGAAGTAAGAGCAGGAATTTGTTTACTGTGCTATCCTAATTTAAAATACATGCACATGGCTTAAAAATAAGGGACAAAGGAAATTACCCTAAATAGTTCCTGTCCCATCTTACTGCCCACTCCTAGTCCCCCTTCCTAGAGGAACCTTTTCAAATTATCTTTATTTTATTTTTTTCTGGCTATAAAATGCTTATAAAATGCTGTTCCTTGATTTTTCCACTTCAGAAATTTGAGAGATGATCATTTAGTTTATATTCACTATCTCTCATGGTACCTCCCCCTGCTTTTGCCATTTTTTGATAGTTATATTTTGTATAGTCCTCTCTTTGCCTGGCAACATAATTTTTTTGTTTGGTTAAAACTAAGATGGTGAGATGAAGATCTAAACTAGAATTTTGCCAAACAAATGATCACTATTGTCTAGCCAAGTTGACACATAGAATTAAGTATCGTACACCCTTTCGCCTCCCAACTACTGATCAGTTATACTTTGGACATTATTTTAGTAGCCATGGTAAGTTGCTTCTAAAAGTTAAAAACACAAATGTTATGTTACTTAATTTAGTTGAATTAGTCACTATAATGTTGATGTAGCTAATCATTAAAAGGAATTTGTGTCTTATTTGTCTAATAGAATTCAAAATGAATTTGTAATGTATATAATTTGCTAGGGCTACCATAACAAACTACCACAGAATGGGTGGATCAAACAAAAGAAATTTGTTTTATTACAGTTTTAAAGGCTAGATGTCTAGAATCAAGGTGTCAACAGGTTGTGTTTCTTCTGAGGCCTCCCTACCTGGCTTGCAGATGGTCACCCCTTGGTCTGTGTGTTGACTATGTCATATCGGATTAAAGTCTGCACATATTAACTCATTTTACTTTAATTATGTCTTTAATGCCTTGTCTCCAAATACAGTCACATATTGGGTTAGGACTTTAACATATGAATTTTGGGAGAACACATAAAACTACTAGGAAATCATGTTAGATCTGATACACTATTGAGACTAAAGCAAAATACTTTTCCTTACTCTTTGTACATCAGATATAGCCCATCTTGAACAAATGTATCTGATTATTAAGTATGTTTGTCTAAGAATAATGTCATAACACTAGAAGTTTTTATTTTGAGAAAAAGGGATATAGGCTCTTTTATGAAATTATTAATAAATTGAAAAAAGATATTGACATAAAATATCTTTGAGGCCATGGATATAATTGGACAAATACAGCAGGTATATATTTGTTTCCTAAAATTATTTTCCCCTAAAATGGTTATGCCAAATAAGTTCATAATCTGTGCAAAAATGCTGTTTCTGTGAATTCAAATACAATCTTTTTAGTATGTACAAATGATACATAATCTTTTATGAATTCATTGAGCAGTGGAATGTTATGCTTGTTCTAAAAACTACATTAAAAACAAATCCTGAGAGGCATGAAAGTCAAATATGATCAAGGTACTTCACACAAATATGTTTGTCAAATATTAAAAGAACATAAAATGACACAATATCCTAAAATAGGAACCATCTTGGTGTGAACAGATTACAATTTTTCATGTAACTTGTCTATGTGGGATGATATTTTAAACTTAGTAGAAAAAGGTTTATGAAAAAAAAGACTATATACAAAGCTGCATGCTTAATAAAAGGCCTATTCCTTTGCTTATAACAAATGAGAGAAAGTAACTTAAAATTATGTTTGGTTAAAGTAAAACTTTAAAAGAGATATGAATATACTTAAAGAAAAATCAGAAATGTACAAATTACTGAATGAGCATATCAATTATTGTGGGAAAAGTGTTGAATAGAAATTAAAGAGATTACAGATGTCCTAGAGATGGAGATATGAAAAATCGAAGTATTTTTGTATTTTTACTTGGAGAAATTTTCTACGAATACATCTGATTAACAAAAAGCAGCCATTGGCTTGACTTACCTCTTAAATACTCCAATGATTTAAATCCTGTGGCAATTTCATCTGAAATAGGGGTAAATAGCATGCAACATCAATAGTTTGCATGAACAAATGTGACCCTGAAAGAGCCAGTCCTTCAAGATGGATCTCAAGTGGCTGACTGGGCCTAAATATAAAGCAGAGCCAAGAAGCCATTTGGTGACTAGAGGCAACACACCTATTCTGAGTTCCCTGAAAACCCATACCTCTAACTTTGGAACTTTCAGAGCTCACCTGAACCAGCCAATCACAGCCCACCTCCCTTGCTGCTCAGCTGTATCAACCAATCAGAACTGTGTTTCCATCTCATTTGTATCAATGACCCTGATTGGGAACCAGGGCAGGAACTTTTGCTATAAAGCTAGAACCCTTCCTTTCTTCTTTGGACCACACCTTCCTTTTACACTGAATGATGTGTTGGACTCCCTACTTTGCAAACTATTCACTGGAATAAAGTCCCTTTCTTCCAGATAACTTTTGTTCACATTTGTAATATAAAATCATGATGTTTGTATCCTCTAAAACTGATTTGCAAATTTTTCTTCATGCAGTCTTACCCAAATTTCAAAATGGTCCTGAGAATTTTTAAACAATACCAGTCACAGTGTGATATAGTTTGGATCTGTGGCCCCACCAAATCTCATGTCAAATTGTAATCTTCAATGTTGGCCATGGGGCCTGGTAGTCGGTGATTAGATCATATCATGGAGGTGGTCCTTCATGAATGGTTTAGCACCATCCCCTTGGTGCTGTTCTCTTGATAGTTATCATGAGATCCGGTTATTTGAAAGTGTGTATACACTTTGGGAGACTGAGGCGGACAGATCACTTTGAGCTCAGGAGTTCAAGACCAGCCTAGGCAATATGGCGAAACCTCATCTCTACAAAAACTACAAAAATTAACTGGGCATAGTGGCTCACTCCTGTAGTCCCAGCTACTCAGGAGGCTGAGTTTGGAGAATTGCCTGAGCCCAGGAAGTGGAGGCTGCAGTAAGCCGAGACTGTGCCACTGCACACCAGCCTGCGTGACAGAGACCTGTCTCAAAAAGAAAATGTAGCACCTCCTTTCTCTCTCTCTCTCTTGCTGTCTTGTTCTCTTGCTCTTGCTCCTTCTCCAGCCATGTAAGATGTGTTTGCTTCCCCTTTGCCTTCAGCCATGATTCATAGTTTCCTGAGGCCTCTCCAGAAGTGGAAGCTGCTACACTTCCAGTATAGCCTGCAGAACCACGAGCCAATAAGCCTCTTTTCTTTATAAATTACCCATTTGCAGGTATTTATGGCAATGCAAGAACAGACCAATGCACCATGGTATCCTGCAAAATCCTGAAGTTAATTAAAAATTATTTAAGATCATCACTTAGTCAAGAGGAGTAGATTTTGACAATTTTATTGATCAGTTTGCTTCCATTAAAGTCATTGGTATAAAATATTTAAATTTAATGTGAGTTTTAAGATACCACCTTTCAATATTATCAACGAATTTAATGTGTAAAAATTAACAAAAACACGAAAACGTACATAAGGAGTATACATTTTTCATTTTGCCTCAGGTTTCAATATGGTTTGGCACAGCACTGCTCTTAAGTTTCCAAACTTGGCATTTTGACTCCAATATTAGATTTGCCAGATTCAGCAAATGAAAATACAAGTAACACCCAGTTTAACTTTAGATGAATAACAAATATTTTTTGCATAGAATATATGCATACTAAAAAGTTTGTTGCTTATCTGAAATTTAACTGGGCATTTTGTATAATATCTGGTAATTCTAAAAATAATTATCTTACATGGTTGAAAAAGCTCCCTGCTTCTTGGTACAATGTAACTGTTGTAGCAACACCGTCTTGCCCCTTTGATTGCTGGTTATGGGGATGACTGAAGTGCACACACGGGAAGTCACATGGCTTCTGTGTCACACTGTCCAACCTGTAGGTGTGTCCAGTCCTTACCAGGTCTAGGAGAACACAGCAGCCTCACTCCATCTGAGGGCAGAGGAGCAAGCATATTCCCCACTGCCATGACCCTCTCCCCAGCTCCCTCTGCTTCAGTCACACCGCCCCAGTACATTTGTGCTTGTTGGTCCCTCTGCCTGGAAGGTACCTATCCCAAGTAGTTTCTACCCTCATTCCTTTCCAGACTGATCAAAGATTACCTTATCCACTGGGGTGCCACATCAATTTGCAGTTGCTATGACAACACCCTGGCGTTAGGGCCCCTTTCCACGGTAATGACCCAATGACCCCAAAGTTACTACTCCTTCTCTAGAAATGTCTGCATAAACCTCCCCTTAATCTACATGTAATTAAAAGTAGTTATAAACATGACTGCAAAACTGCCCTGAGCTGCTACCCCCTGTCTGTGGGGTAGCCATGTTCTGCCTCTTTAAGAAAGTTGTTTTCGTCTACCTCTGGCTTGCCCTTGAATTCTTTCCGGGGCAAAGCCAAGAACTCTCGTGGGCTAAGCTCCACTTTGGGGCTCACCTTCCCCACATCACTGGCACCCATTAAGTGATTTAAGGTGTGTATTAGTTGGTGGTCTGTCTCCCCCATGGTATAGAAGCTCCTTGAAGGAAGGAACTTTGTTTTTCCACTTCTCTATCCCCAGTGGAAAGCACCAAGCAGCCTCTCTTGCTCAGTGGGCACTGAAATGGCACTCGGAGCTCAGTACCCAGATAAAGGACACCCCCCAGATAAAGGACACCAACTCTTCCCCCGCGCAGGCCCCGGGAAGGGGCGAGGCCGTGCGAGGCCACGGGAAGGGGCGGGGCCTCTGAGGACCTGGGGCAGGGTCTGGTTTTCTGGAAAGGCCTTTGACCTGTGGGCGTGTGCCTAGAGGCTAGGTGGTGAGAATGGCAGGGAGAGAGGACAGCAGTGGGGCCACAGGGTGTGAGTGTCTGTGGCTGCACTGGCTTAGGGCTGTGGCTGGCCCCTCCCTTCGGACCTGGCCTGGCAGATCAGCCCCGCAAGACCAGCTTGCAAGGCTCCTGGGGCCAGTGGGGCTCTGTCCTGTGAGGCGGTCTCTCCCCAAGGACGGAGCAGACAGAGGCTGGTGAGTCAAGAATGTGCCCTGAGGGAGGAGTCTGGGTGCGTGAAATGATGTCTTGGACATAATATCTAAGGCTGACGCTACTTTGAAGAGGTTTGACTTTTGTGAAGTTTCTTTATTCTAAATTCGGGGGAAACTTTTTTTTTTTTTTTGTAAAGTATTTGGGGATTGTGAGAAGGTAAGTGGTAGGAAAGGCTGTGGGTATTTGGCAGGCTCAAAGTTTTTTGTTTTTAAGGCACTTTTCAGTGTCTTTCTGAAAGTGCATTTATAACGGGGGATCAGCCCCCTCCCCACACCCCAGCTTGGTTCTCCCTGCTCTTACTCTTCTCTGAAAAGTCCGTCTCTTTGTCTTGAAATTTGCAGCCACCAAAGTAATGACCCAAACTGCTTTTGTACTCAGTGGACTCACAGCTGTCATCTTGCCTGCTTCTTTGATTTCAAGAAGCTTAAGGCAAGCTGCTTATGCTAGATTTACTGTCCTCACCTTACATTCTTAATTTTTTGACCTAGTGAGTCTACCCCAACTAATTCCCTGGAATTGTCTGGTAAAGTGTTCTGGGTCCTCCTAGTGGCCAAACCCAGTAGACGCTGCGGACTTTTTTTTTTTTTTTCCCTCCAGCGAAGCACTTCGTGATTCGAATTCTCCTTTATCTCCGGCCTCCCTGGCTCCTTTTCATCAGCCTACGCTTCTCATATATATGTTCCCTAGCCTAGTTTCTGTTTCCTTTTCACAGTAGTACTGTATACTATAGGAGGAAGGATCTTTACTTCCACTACTTTAACATGTATATGTTTATGATTTATTGAATGGTCTTTTTGCACTCAAATCTTTCTCTTGAGTTCTATTTTAGACCCGTATATCCATCTTTCTAGTGGACATACCCACCTGGACCAACATCTAGAATAGGTGTCACAAATTATTCAACAAATGATCACAAATAGGGCCTGATGTAGGAAAAATACAATTACAATGACTGTTAACCTTTTGGGGTGACAGACCCTCTTGAGACACATACGAAATTTCAGGGTCTTTCTCCCTTTAAAAAGTACACACAAATTTTAGCCTGTTTCAAAGCTCCCTAGACCTTCTGTAGTTCAAGAATTTTGAGTCTTTGGTTAGAGCTTCCGGAAATGATAATGATAAAATGAAAAAGTATGTTTTCATATATAAACATCAGATTTAGAAACTTACAGTGGGAATGCATTGTATTGCAGCCTTCATCAAACATTAACCCTAATTAATCACATCAGGGTGATTTATGGAAACATTGTCTTTAGAAGTAACAACATAGAATGAAAAATCTGGAGCCCTAGAATTAAAATATACCCCAGCAGACTCCCTGTGGCTAAAATGAGACATACCAAAACCAGAATCTAACAGCCACAGCAAGGTGAGGGCTTTGTCCTGTATCCCTGTGTTACTACCTACCATCAGGTTTTCTTTCCTGTAATTAAGCAGAAACCAGGTCCTGAAAAACATCACAGAAACAACTACAGCTGGAAATTTCCCATTGACCCTGATAGACTACTACCTGACACCAGCTGACCGACCCCACTGGCTGCCCACCATGGTCCTGCCACCGTTCTGATGGGACAGAGGATTGGCCTTACATTCTTTCCTGATAAATAGCTATAGACCTCAAGCCAGCCAGTTTTGGCCAGCTTATAGAGACTGCACAAAACTGTCTGTGTGCCCGGTAGTTCACCTTTTTGATGCAAAGAGCCACATTCACCTTACTTTAATGCTAAAACCCCACCCCAAAGTGAACATGGAATGTATGTTACGTATATGTTTACCCACTGCAACATGCTTGACTTCCCTCATGAATATTGACAGATTCCTTCATAAATATAATATGTAAGGCTATCCCTGTAAAGCATAAATACCAGCTTCCTATTCCCTTTTGGAGTATGTCCTTTTGCTTTTCTTGGGAGGTTGCATTTCCCAGTTTGCAGATTGTTCCTTCCTCTGAAAATACAGGGTTTTTTTCCTTTTCTTCCTCTGTGCATCTCATGGTCTTTTGTTAACGTTTCAAAGAGAGTTTCTGATTAACTGTGGATTGCATGTTTCACAGTCCAAATAGCCTTATAGCCTGGTCAGAGACCAGGGCCTGCTTCAGACCATTTAGGAAGTTCTTGCTATTCAGAG